TGTACTTTATACAGGCTGCATCCAGGGCCGTGCCGTGATATGATGCGGAGATGCGGCCGCATCAGGCGGCACCGTAAAGGGGCGGCATTAGCAGCAACATCAAAATAAAAAATATAGGTTTTTAAACTGAAAGATATAGATGACAAAATGCTAGAAAATTATAATTTATATTGTACCAGTCTCCAGACAATACTTTCGGTGGAAAATGATTCAGATATAAATGCAAATGATGCTGAATTATTCTATGAAACCTTTAGATGTTTTGAATTACTTGTGCCAAAATAACTTAAATACTTTATATCCGAACACTTTTATAGCTTTGCGAATTTTATTAACACTCCCTGTATCTGTAGCTAGTGGGGAAAGAAGTTTTTCAAAATTAAAACTAATAAAAAACTACTTAAGAAATTCAATGAGCCAAACAAAACTTAAAAATCTATCAATAATATCTATTGAATCTACATTAGCTGTGACTCTTGATTACACATCTTTAATTAACGAATTTGCTAAAATATAAGTTAGAAGGGTAAAATTATAGTAAAGTCCTGTTTTAGATGACACTTAATATTATTGTTAGAGGTAGTTTATATGTATGTTTTTTTTTTCAAAATAAAAATAGTTTTCATACATTTTGTGCAGTTTTCTTGTGAATTCCAATCGAGGTTATTAAAGAGAAAACATTTCAATAGCATCAGTTAAGGGCGGCATTTCGAAAACTTGCATCATACTGAAAAAATCTACCGCACGGCCCTGGCTGCATCTGATCGTTTGGAAGGGCCTAAAACTTGAAGACTGTGCAAATACAAAAATGGGGACAAACGAAAACCCTAACGATTTGTAAATTTGCGTGGATAATTGTAGTTAAGTTGGTATTTCGTCTTGAACCCCAGAGAATTTAAGGTTGCTAAAGAGGATTATTAAAGCAATAAATTAGGGTGTTCATCCTTAAAAGGAATTAGTCAAAAATGTCGTTGTCACAGTGAATATGCAGCCACTAATAATGCTAGTGAAAAGCAATTTATATACTGTAGCTTTCGAGCGAGTGCATAATTAAATGAGTGCCTAGACAAGTTTGTAAACAAGTTATACGAGGTGTGTTCAGAAAATAACGGGAATTGTTAAATTTCGCGGGTTCGAAGGGTCCGGTTGTCATAAAATTTTCTTTATTATGTTGGTATACATGCCCCCGAAGTATGATAAAAACTTTAGCTGTTTTCATTGTTTACTTTGTCTGTGGCGGCCGCTAAGGTTAGACGCGTTTTATGAGCTCGGTGATTTTTCGTTCGTTAAAAGAAATGGATCAAAGAAATTTGTATCCAATTTTGCTTAAAAAATTAAATAAATTCTGTGAAATGTTAACAAAGGCCTATAGTGAGTCTGCTATAAGTAAAACAAGAGTTTACAAGTGGTATAAGAGTTTCCAAGATGGCCGTGAAGACGTTGAAGATGACGAACGCCCAAGCACATTAACAACCGATAAAAACATGGAAAAAGTTGAAGAAATGGTTATAAACCATCAGAGAAGTCGCTGATGATGTTGGTATATCGATTGCCTCATCTCATGAAATTTTTTCGAATGTTTTGGGTATGAAACGCTTGGCAGAAAAATTTGTTCCAAAATTGTTAAATTTTGAACAAAATTTTTGTCCAAAAACAATACTGTAATGATGCCCCAGCCTCCATATTCGCCAGACATGCCTCTGTCTGACTTTTTCCAATTCCCAAAAATAAAGAGAACCTTAAAGGGCCGTCGGTTTGCAAGCATAGATGACATTAAAAGCGCATCGCTGAAAGAACTAAAGGCTATCCCAAAGATCGAGTTTTAGAAGTGTTTCGAGTATTGGAAGAAGAGCTGGCACATGTGCATAATATCCAATGGGGACTATTTTGAAGGCGAAAACATTAATGTAGACGAATAAATAAATATTTTTTTCAAAAAACGAAAATTCCCGATATTTTCTTAATAATATGAAATTAAATGGAAAATTGATTGATTAAGTATCTCAAAAACTGTCCTACTTTCATAACTTTTGATGATTGATTATGAATTAAATATTTACCTTCTGATGTATGAATAGGGTGAGTCGTTTAACATAAAACTTACTTATACCTCATTTAAGGTAAAAAAACATTATTTTGTCAATTAATTAATTTAATCCTAATTGAGGTATAAAAAATGGTACTTAGTTATAAATAATAATTATTATTGAGGTATAGAAACTATTTATTAGCATTATTTAATCAATTTAGTTCGAAGATTAATTTTCAAACAAAAAGACCTCCTTTCGTTAAGCAGTTATTCATAATGGATTTTTTAACAGTGGAAGAAAAAATAGAAATGATTTTGATTTATGGAGAAGCAGGCAGGAATCTTGATGATGCCGTTAATATCTACGCTCAGCGTTTTCCGGATAAAATTCGATCACGTACTTCATTTCACCGTACAGTCAAGCAGTTCACTACAAACGAGAGTGTTCGACCGAAAAAAAGAGTACGTCGAGCAACAGTCACAGGTGGAAATAATGAAATTAAAAATTAGAAAAAACTACCATATTCCATATTTGGGCACCTTATGGCTACAGACCACTGTGTATTGAGATTAAGTCAACAAAAGTATCAAAAAGTACAAGGGCTACAAATATTTCGCAGGATTCTGCTGAATGCTAAGTGGGCTTTATTTTCTACCCGGCTACGTGATTGTCATGAAAATCGACTAAACTTTGGTGATAAAACAAATAAATCATTTTATGTTAAAAAGAACACTCAAAGGAAAGCCAGAATTAGTTCAAAGGGCTTTATTTTAAATTTGGGACGCATCAGAATGCCACACGGAGAGAAATGTATAGTAAATTTTAGATAGTAAAATTTATTTTAACAAATTTTTAGGGTAACAAAATTATATATTCGTCAATACAATATTAAGATTGTAATACAAAATACTATTTTTTATTATACAATTTTAGTAAAGATTACACCAATATTACTAAATCATAAATGTATAATATATATTTTAATTTTTAATATGTTCGTATAGTAAATTGATTTTACTATCTACAAATAGTAATATTTACTATATGATTTAATCAAATGTAAGGTGTACATCTAATATTATAATATATTACACATTAATAAAAAATATAGTAAAAATAAAGATACTTTTATGTTTAAGGTAAATAAACAATATATTTAAATATAATATACAATATAGTAACTCATGACATTTTAAACATTCAATTTTCTTAGTTTCTTTAATAAACTTTCTTGACCCATTACTGGTAATAATTATAAGAAAGAATTGAACCTACTTGGTTGCATAGTATGTACCGATTGCGGCAAAGGCCACGTCGCGACGCGTCGTTAGACGGTGTGGATCACGTGATGTTCTTACATCTCGCCTCTGTTGGCTTACCAACCATGTTATATAAGCTCAGGTATTTCTTTGTTTTGGGTGTGTTCCACTACTACAAGTTGCTCGACAGTGTCGTGTCGACACTGATGATGCCCAATATAGGTCAAAACACCTGTCTGTCGGTATTTGAAGTTGATGGAACGCACTCAAAACAAAAAACTTTTGCGAGGTGTAGGTTCAATTCTTTCTCATAACATTTTTGTATATTAAAAAGTACAATAAATATGTTACAATTTTTAATTGTTAACATATAAAAATATTCCATTTTAAAATATTTTATATTTAAAATGGCATCATAATATTTTAAAATTTCCTATACTTATTAGTAATGGAAAAAACCTAATTATAATAAGAATTAAAAACAAAATCGGTTGAGAATAATAATATTTTACCTTAAGGTTTAACATACATGGATATTTAAAAATTACTAAATATGCAAAGTATCTGGAAATATACTATTATTAAATACCTATCCCAATTTATTATTTAAACCATCTTGATTTGTACCTATAAATCTTCTCTATTCAAATCTCGTGAGTAATGAAAGCGAGTTTGAATAATGAGTTTGGCATTTGGATTCCACCACAACTATAGAAATTACGGTTTAAGGGTTTCTTGGAAAGTTAAAGAGGGTGATCACGTGTTTAGTTTATGAGCACTAAAGTTTTACGATGTACGTTTTGTAGCTCAAACTTTAATATTTTTATGGATAAGTCATCAGTTTATTTAGGTCATGAAGTAAAAAAGGTACTATTTAGTTTTTATTAATATTTTTAAGTCCAAACAAGCATAAAGTGTGATTTACAAATTTCCATTTTAGTCACGGGCTGAAGTTAGCTTTATTATAAATAAATTGTAAAAAAGTAAGGTTAAATTTGTCAGATGTCAAATAATGGCAATGTCAGATAAAGTATACTATACTCGTTTTATAAACTTCTCTAGACACTCTTTTTTATTAAACACTCGCTCGTGCTTAATAAAACTCGAAACCAGAAACACCCTGTATAGCATTATATTAAATATAAAAAAATTCAAAATAACTAATTAAAAACAACTGAATAAAAAAATATAGATATTTCTAAATAGCCGATTGCAACATAAAAAAATAAAGTCTTTATTCTAATTTATTTATTGGGTAAATACTTTCCTTAGTTTGGAATTAAAATTGAAGCTGGCTTATCGAGTAAAAAATAAATTGAAGCTTGGTTGTGGGGCAAAACATAAAACTAAAGTAGGTTATAATTTCTAACTTGCTGACACTGTCTATATTTATTATTTAGTTTATTCATTTTAATAAATTAATGTTTTGAGTTTATAGTACACTTATAAATTGAAACGCAATCAGTCATTTGCAACTTATAAACTGAACTGTCAAATTATCTTTCATGCTTCCAATGGTAGGTTACCATAGAGAAAAGTCTATGATGCCTCCTATGATCAAAATTATTAAACTTGAAAAAATATATTCAATTCTGATATCACTTGCAAAGAAATGTACAAAATTTGTTCGATTTTTACGCGAAACCATGGTTAAGATTTATTCTGAAAAAACGCTGAAATTTGAAAATTAAAAAAATTCCCAATTACTCACCAGCAATAAAATTGTAGCTGTTAGCGTCCAATATTCTGCAACAAAAAATGATATTAATAAAGTTACGAAGTATCTAAGTAGAGTATAAACATGTTCTGAATATATTCCATGAAGAATGCAATGACAAAAATAAAAGTACAAGCAATTCCATTATGGCAACCGAAACTAATTAAATTTGTTTTTAAAATAACACAAAAAGTTTTCGTGCGGGATAAAGGTTTAAAAAGTTTTAACAAGCAACAAAGTTTTATTGTTCCGAAGCCATATAAATATGTAAATTAGCTATATGAGTTGACAAAACACGCAATGATAAAAGTTATTGAACATGGCAAACGAATTTGTTGATTACTTTTTTAATTGCTAGTTTATACGGGAAAAATTAATTTGATTAAAAAAAAATGAATTGAAATTCCTTGTGGAGTTGGTTATTGATTACAGACGAACACGTTTAAATAATTAATTGTACTATTAAATATAAAATAGAGTTTTTAATGTCTACTCTACACGGAAAAAAACTATTCTATATTAAAGATTAATCATCTCAGTCAACTAAGGATTGATTTATTCTTATTTGTAATTTAAATTAATACTTATTTGAAGGATACACAGTAAAAAAAATCAACTCTAAGCAACACTAATTAGAGTTCACACCTGCAGGTCCACACTAAATAGTGTTGTTTTATAACACTACAATTAGAGTTAATTTGTAAAAGTTTTAGATCAATGCAATGTTTTACTGGCTGTCAACTTGTAAGCAATGAATTATCTTGAGAATTCATCAGTAATCCATTTTTCTGTTAAAAAAAATGGGTGATCCCATTGGTAGAGAGGCGTCAGGCGGCTGTATGTCGGGGATTTACCACACGTGTACAAATTTTCCATATATTAATAAAAATGTAGGTATAGGTTAATATAACAACCATTACGCTTGAAAATAAAAAGTAAATCAAGTGTGTATGTATTTATATTATTAATGTTACAAGTACCCGACCTACTGCCGTAAATTATTGATATAATATAGGTCCTTTTAACATATTGGTATTTATTGAGTATAAAGGCTTAAAGAAAAAGGAAGTATAATATATTATAGTATACTTACCAAAAAATAAGAATGTCCTCTTATGGATTCACCGTAATTAAAATCTAACTGAACAAAAATGCCACACTTCCACAACGCGGTATCTCCGGATATGCACTGCGTAGGTAGATAGGTACCAACCAAACATTTTAAAACGCATTTCGGTTATTACCAGTTTTTTCAGTCTATTTTGCCACTATTGGTGTAATTAAACTTTAATTGTGATTCAATTTGCACTAGTAGTGTAAAGAAAAAAGAGCTCTTAGTAACATCAAAACAGACAAAGAAATTGACATGCACTATAGTGTACATTTTGTCACTATTTAACACATTAAGGGGTAATAAACACTCGCATTAAGTTTTTCGACCCTTTTGATTTATTTTAATAATAAATAGTGTGAATGTACCAATGAATAATGTTCATATTCTTTAAATGTGTTTAATAAAGTTAATAAGCACTAAATGCTACCTGTGTATTTTTTAGTGTGACTTTTACACTTACAAATCTACTCTAATATTTTTACCCCTACACTAAAAAATTTACACGGGCAAAATTTTTTACTGTGTAAATATTTACATAAATATATTTTACAAAGGTATCCTTACATTTTTTTTCGTGTACAACTGTGGATCTACTGTTGCTATTTAAAGTAGCGTGATCTCAAACAATAAAGCCAAAAAGCATGCTAAAATTTTCCTGGAAACTGAAGAAAATAATAACTTAATTTTAGAGGGTTCGCTTTAAAAATTGTTTTTAAATTACCTTAATTTAAGTGTAAATGGCGACTAAATTAACAAAGCGCGATAAATAATCACTTTTTGGAAGTTTAAGATCCCTTTTAAAAGGTGTCAAGGAACATTACTTATTATAAATGGTTTTGAGAAAAAATTTATTTTAATACTCTGATATTTGCTTCTTTTTTTATGTACTTTGGTAAACATTTTAATTTTTTTTTAATATTTATAACAAACAAGTATTTTAACACCTTTTAATTTAAAGAAAGTTCAAAAGCCATTGGGTCAAGACTTACTGCTGTGCTTTTTATGACACCCTGTATAATTCCTAACTTTCTTAATAAAAATAAATAGTTTATGTACCAGATGTTAACGCTACGTAAACCAAGTAAGTCACAGAAGAAAAGTTTTGACCACAAAACCTTCGAAAAATAAATTTATGTTTCAAGTTTATAATTATAATTTACAGTGGGTAAACTTTTTCCACAGCTTTTTTTTTATTTTTAAATTATTTAAAACTTAATATTGAACATTAATTTTTATTTTAAACTTTAAATATTAAAATTAAATTATATATTGAATATTAAACAATAAATTTTGAACATTGAAGAAATTGAAAGTTTTATTTTGTTGTAATAAGCATAGGTTTAAAAAATTCTGGCCCCTTCTTTGTTTTGTTGCTTTCGTATTCCGTTTCTCGTATTAGGGACCAAATGTAATCACCCATCATGGCTGCATCCCAGAAGCCGTGATACCGCCGCTCCATAGCCTTCATTTGCTGGTGAAAACGTTCTCCGCGCTCATCACTTACGTCGCCCAGATTGTGCGGGTTATTTACGCACTCGAACTCTCTACTTCTTTTACTCATTTTACACTTTTTATTAACTAAATAAAACCATGATAAAAATACCTTGTTGAAATATCAAAAAATATCAGTAAAATGTCACTATGCCAACACGAGAAACAAAAGAATTCACGTTTGGGTAGTCATGTCAAATTTAAATTTTGAATAATGTTTTTGGTGAAAAAAGTAAGTAAAAAACTCAAAAAATTCCAATCATGCACTTTATTTAGGTTTTTATTGAAGAATAAACATAATATAAAATAAAAGAAAAAAAAATAAAAGAAAAATCGTCAAAAAGCTGAATTTTGTTTTTTTTTTTTAAATGTCAGCTTCACGAAAAAAAATTCAAACTGGAGTTATCTGTTTGATTTAAACCTTTCCCAGGGCGATATGTAAATTTTCGACCTCAATTTTTGCCATAAAAACGAATTTTTTAAGTTATTAAAATCGCTAGTGTCAAAATACTTATCCGATATCAAAAGTATGTAAAATAAAGTTTTAGAGGGCTCCAATACCTTTCATTTAAGGGCTTGTTTGATCAAATCGAATAATTATATTAGTGTTATTATTCTTTAATTTACGAGTTTCAAGAGTGTGGCTGCCCAGTACTGATGAGATTTAAAAAACTGAACTTATTATTGAATTACGTAATTGGTGTATAACAGCTGGATTTGCTGTGCCAAGTGAATATCAATAAATTTATCTATTGTGAAAAACCGTATTTTATCAGAAATGCATTATACGAACGTTGAATAAAAATATTTCTTTCACTAAGTTGATCGCGTTTTGTAACGATTCCTCAAATGATGATTTTTATATTGTAAAATCAATACTTTCAATAAAATTAAATTAATTTGATATATAATTAAATATTTTATTTATTTAAACTTAATTAACGATTTATTTTATCACAAATAAAGAATTTGCAATCAAATGGCCTACGAGCTAAATAAAGCTATTAATAAAATCCAATAAAATGAAAATAAATTTCTTTCGGTGCTAAAATAAAACCGACGTATTATTTTCCGTTTTATTTTTGTTTCCTGAAAACTATTGTTTGGGTTTTGTGGGGCTATAGCTATTAATATTTCTTAAAACTGAATTCCTTGTGTTTATTTTTATGAATAAAGGGCATAAATACCATTCGAATAAAAATAATTCTAGAAAATTAATCCATTACATAATGAAAAATATGACAAACTGGCCCTGACATTTTAAAAGAAGTTAAAGCAGATTCCCAACACTAATATTGGTTTGTTTATTTTTGTATAAATATTTTGATTGATAAATATTTTTTAGGCACTCATTTTTATTACAAACTCGCTCGCAAGCTTCGCTCGTGACTAAAATGTCGTTTGTCGCACTTGTATTCTAATCGAAAGAGTTTTTGATTACAATGCATTCATATGACTTTCATCGAAAAGTGCTTTTATATGAGGGAAAGTTTCTTTTGAGATCTTCTATGAAAGGATATCGCTTTCAAAGTTTTGATTTGAACAAGATTTAAGAAAGCCTGTAAAGCGATAAAGTAAACGAAATCACTGGCGATAACAATGAAAGCATCTTCTATTGCTAAACTGTTTAAAGTACTTTTCAAAGATTACACTAGTTTACAAAATCGAAAAAAAATCTGCCCACAATATGGTTTTTGAAATTGTTTTTTTTTTCAATTGTCCTGGGAACGGTTTAAATCAAACATATAACTCCATTTGAATTTTTTTTCGTGTACCTGACATTTTTACAAAAAATACAAGGTAATGTTGATAAAAATACATGAAAAAATGGCGAGGTTATGAATTTTTTAGTGGAAGACCAAAATTCAGCTTTTTACGATTTTTATTTTATTTTTTTTATTTTATTTTGTAATATGTTTATTCTTTAATGAAAACCTAAATAAAGTGCATAATTGGAATTTTTTGAGTTTTCTACGTACTTTTTTCACAGAAAACATTATTCAAAATTTAAATTTGACATGACTCCCCAACGTGAATTCTTTTGTTTCTCGTGTTGGCATAGTGACATTTTACTGATATTTTTTGATATTTCAACAAGGCATTTTTATCATGGTTTTATTAAGTTAATAAAAAGTGTAAAATGAGTAAAAGAAGTAGAGAGTTCGAGTGCGTAAATAACCCGCACAATCTGGGCGACGTAAGTGATGAGCACGGAGAACGTTTTCACCAGCAAATGAAGGCTATGGAGCGGCGGTATCACGGCTTCTGGGATGCAGCCATGATGGGTGATTACATTTGGTCCCTCATACGAGAAACGGAATACGAAAGCAACAAAAAACAAAGAAGGAGCCAGAATTTGTTTAAACCCATGCTTATTACAACAAAATAAAACTTTTAATGTCTACAATTTTCAATATTTATTGT